ATGGAAGACACAGGTGCATATACTGACCGGTGTGTGTGGAAGACACGTGTGCATACTGACCCATGTGTATGGAAGACACAGGTGCATATACTGACTGGTGTGTGTGTGAGACACACGTGCACATACTGACTGGTGTGTGTAGATGGTACATGTGCGTTGACTGACCGGTGCGTGTGGAAGACACATGTGGAACATTAACGTGGTTCCGTGAGTCTGGGCTGTGTAGAAGATGCAGAAGTCATCCCCTCCTCATGTCCCTCTCCAGTCCCAGCTTCCTTGTATTCCTTTCCCACCTACCTCACTATACGTAAGCGATGTTTTTAGTTTCTTGTTTAATCTGTCTTTATTTCTTCTGTACAAATACCTTCACATGTGTTTTCTTATATGACTTTATTTCTTATGTAAACAGTAACATTCCTCCTTGCAATCTAGTTGTCCAGTAAGGCGTGTGCCCTGCAGCCTGTGTCACTGTGCAGAGATCTTCCCTGCCGTCTCTGCAGCGTGCAGTCCTCAGCCGTGTGGGCAGGCGTCGCTCACGCAGCTGCTTCCCTGCAGACGGACGTGTAGGTTGCTTCCAGTATTTTACAACTACATTGGAATAACTTGATCAACTTCATCCGTATGTATTTTTGTATAATTAGAGGTGTATGCTCAGGCTCAATTACTAGAAGTGGGATTGGTGGGTCATCTGTACATCCGTGACTTCTTTAAAAAGTAAAATCTGTTTTGAAATGTATTTGTTCTCATATTGAAGACACGGTTTTGACATGCATGCTGGGATAGCTGCATTTCATCAATGGTTAGTTCTAATAATTCTGGAAACTCTTACAGGGACTTAAATCATTAAAAATATGAAGTGTTATGTAGTGATTCTGTTCCTTTTGGTCATATTTGGTGTTGGTAATGCGTGTGATTTTTAAGCTTTTCATTCATTGGGATAGTTTGACATTTAGAAAATACACTTATTTCTCTAGATTCATCTTCATAAAAACAGCTTTTCAGTGGTAAGATTGATCTTTATCCATGTGTTCAGTTATTTAAATTTCGTTTCAGAAGGATTTTATTTAGGGTAAAGAAGGTTTTGCTGTTTCCTTAATCAAAGAATCACAAAGAGCTAGATGTTTTTGGAGCGTTTATTGTGTGTGAGACATGTTCTGTGGGCTTCATCTGGACTGGGTCAGTACAGCAGCCCAGTGAGGTAGGTACTGCTGTCTTATCCTCCACCTCCTCCCGTTTGAGAGATGAAGAAACTGAGTCAGAGAAGAGTACGTTTTTAACCACACAGCTATGAAGTAGGTTAAATCCAGCAGCCTTCTCTGGAATCAGGACTCTGGACAC